CAATGGCCTAATTTTTTTTTAACTTTGTTTTGCCTCCATGTTTACTGTTCTTCAGAATTAAACGATCAAAATAAACATCAGAGTTCCTGAAGTGGCCAGTTTCCTCCATCACTGTGGACACTCCCCCTCCTCTCTCTCCTGCTCACACAGATGAGTCAAACACATTTAAAAGCTCTGTCCAGTTGCTTTTTAAGGATTTTTCCATGCTACACTTCCCCCAGGAGAGTGGGGGCGGCTGGCCAGGGAGCTTGCAGGAGGAGTTCGCCCTCTGCTTCCTTCTCAGCCGGGCCTTCCAAGACTTGGCTTCCCAGGCCTGCCAGGAAATGCCAAAAGGCGGGGGAGGGTACAATTGTGTGCTGAGCTTCAAATTTGTAAGGAGGGGGAAAAAATCATGAGTGCAATGATTCAAGCCAGGGTTTGTGGGATGCTGTGGAAGGGGACAGTTTCACAGTGGGGATCACAAATACAAATAGACAGAATCTAAAAATGTCTGGGAATTTTATTTCCTGTGGCCACAAACATAATATTGAAAAGCAAACAGAAGGCTACCTCTCAGGGGCTTTCCTATCCCAAATCAGCAGTGGATGAATGGGAAGCAGGAAGAGCCAATTCCTGAAGCCCTGACCTTGACCAAGCTAGAATGTAGCAGTGTCTCAGCCCAGAGTAGGGGGCGCCCAACATTTTCCATGCCTTCACTAACAGCCAGCATCTGATCTCACAGACCCAGGGGTTTCTCTCCCTGTTTTCTAATCCCTGCGCCCTGCTTTTTTCCTCTTCCTCCTTATTGTGGTTCAGTCACGATAATTTCCTTTGAAGAAACAGGACACAGCAGAATTGAAATTCTAACATTGAGAAAATAAGGGAAACGGGACTTGGAGATCAGGGCTGGGCTTCACTCACTTCCACTGGCATCAACCCTCTTCCAATCGCCACCCATGCATCAAGGTCTAGGTTAGTTATTACTTCTGCCAGGAAGTTTTAAATGCTAAAATTTCAGTTTTTCTTCCCCATGAAAATATGGAATGCTGGGACTGGCACTGGGGTGCAGCATGCTGGACGATGATGTGTGATGCTGGCATTCTATGTCATACAAGTGCTGGTTTGGATCACAGCTGATCTACTAGTGATCCAGCTGCCTGTGAGGGTACCTGTGAAGGCAGCGGACAATGGTCCGAGTGCTTTGGCCTCTGCCACCCATGTGAGATACCCAGGAGGAGTCCTGGGTTCATGGCTGTGGCCCGATTCATCCATGGCCACTGCAGTCATTGGGGAAGTAGATCAGCAGATGGAGATGTCTGCCCTACACCCTTCTCCTTTTTCTTCTAGGTTGTTCTGCCTTCCTTGTAAGTAAATAAATCTTTAAAATAAAAAGCACTTTTTTTTTTTACTGACTAGCTATGATGGGCATATTATCTTCATAAAAAATTATGGCTATAGTTTTATAGTTGCAGAGGGAAGGACCTGTGAAGATTGAGACTACTCCATCTTGTCTAAAATTGGAAGTCCCTCACCCACAGCCCAAATCTTATATTTTGTGATTTTCCTAGTTAGTTCAGGCAATAATAATATCCCAAAGAGCAAACTCCCTACTGGGAGCTCAAGTCAAACACAGTGGTTAAATTTGATTGAAATTTAAATTATTGCTTCAGCCTGTTGTTCTTAGTGGAGAGCTAGGGTCAGTTCACTTGACTTTTTGTCCTTCTAGACTGCATGGAGAAAGATCACAGGAATGAGTTGAGAAAAGTTCAAAGGACTCTTTACCTGTAATTTGGTCACTTTGTGGGCTGCAGTGAGCAGATATAACTACACCATCACAACTGATGTGATAGGTTTGCACAACGGTTCCCATGGTCCCCATATCAGATATGGTTTCCTCACAACACATACTTCTGTGTCCTGCCAGGCAACCTACAGGTGGTATGCAGCCAAAAGCTAGGTGTAGCAGTTATTCAAGAATGTTTCTGAAATCACTATTTATTCCCATGCATGGAAAAAATAAAGGCTTACCTGAAAATAATTAAACCCGTCTTAACATTCTTGCCACTCTGGGTGTCATAATTAATTAAAGGAGGATGAAAAGAGTCTTAATAGGATTGCAGTCAGCTCTCTGCATTCCTAACCATGCTGTGGTATTTTAGGCAAAGCAAATACAGGGTACCTCAGAGGAACCATCTGATCAGGGAAGTAAAATTCAAGCAAGACTGAATGATGGCAGCCTATATTTTATCCAAATCCTCGCTCCACTCCCAAGCTTGACTTGAGCACCTGAAAAGTACTCCTGCACTGAGCCCTCCTGTCCTGGAATACCCCTACTCAGACCCTCACTGCTCAGTGTTCCTTTCTGTTCTCTGTTAGCCTGTGCAAGTTGGTATAACCTCATTATTACTCCGTAAGTCCTCTCATTCAACAACCATCTTCCTTTTAGCAGATAATGTTACCCCTCACACCCATCCCTTTTATACTACAGGTGTGTCCAGGAAAGGGCACACTTTTTAAAAAGTCGAGTTGGGAGATTTATAACTCTTCAAAGGGTTCTTTTTATGAGCAAGTTAAGGTCCTTCAGTGAGATTAACATATTTGTCTTAGAAAGCTTAGATGAAAATACATCTATTGTGTAAAGTAAGGTGTTCCATCAAATAGTGGCACCATGGACGAGGTGGTACAAGACCTGTACCCAATATTGGCCTTAGAAAAGTGCTCATAAACCTGTCAGCTGCAGAGGTAACTCCTTCTTACTCCATCTTCACCTTCCAGGAACCCAGATCCCCAGAACCATAGGAGCTCTGTCATAAACAAACCTAGGGAACCATGCAACAGCATTTTGTGCTGCTGTCGAAGGAGGAAGCCAAATCCCGGCATTCTGTAATGCATGGGGGAGGTCACTACCATGCCTTCACCCACTCGCCAAGCTGAACACTTCAACTGTGACTGCCCCAGACTGACTCTGCAGGGGCTCCCCAGGGTCCTTAAAGCTAGACGGACACTTCTCCAGTGCCAGACCTCTGGGCAACATGTCCAAAGAAAGAATGTCAGCATGGCTCCCTGTCTCAGAAGCTACCCCCAGACAGTGAGAGAGATGTTTTCTGCTGGGGGTCAGGGAAGATGGAGGGTCCCTTTCCAAGAGGACCCTGTTCTGAGTCAACACAACAGAGCAGAAAAGTGACATCAGAGCAAGAGCTAGCAGATTGGGGATCCCTGAGAGCACATGAGATGCCAGGTCTGACCCTGCTTATATGGAGTGACTGGAGGCCCAAGGCTTTGGGACGTCTCTCAAACCCAGTTTTCCCACTGGTGAGTAGAAGACGAGTTCCAAACAATCTTACGGATCTTTGATTGTGATCGTGGGCTTCCACTAAGTGCAAGGTTTTATGTAGCATGGAATATACAAGTCAGAAACAATCCTGCCTCATTTATCTCTCTGCCAATGACCACAGATACCCACATGCTGCTACTCGTAAATACAAAGTATCACAAGACACACCCAAAACAGCTTAGGTGACAAGTCCTGTGCTTGTGCAGAAAGAGGATAGGTCTTACTGAACAAGAGTCTTTGCGCAAAGGTTTACAGACCCAAAAAAGGGTAAGCAGGATAATTTTTAGACTTCTCAGAGGATGACATTTCTGATTCCCCTGCAAGGGCAGAGGGCTAGGAAAGCGTGTCTGAGGTCAGTGGTCCTCTGTGTGGAATAGGTGCGGTATGTTTGTGGTGCTGAGTCTTGAGATAAAATAGGTTGGGAAAGAGTAGATTAAACAAAGATAACCTTTTTTTTCCACTGCAGTTCTTCTCAGGGACACCAATAAACACATGTGTGTTGAAACTCAGTAACAGAGGTCAAGACTGCAGTGTCCCAAACTGAGGGCTACAGAATGTTTTATTCTTCCAGCTTCTCAAGGGATTTGGGCTCTGAGAAATACCCTGTGGGCATGCACACCCCCCATCCAAGAATCTATAAACTTTCTGGGGGTTGCTTACCACGGAGCTCCAGCTCCCAGCATAGCACCACCACACGACACAGATAGAAGTCAATGAGAGATGAGAACATACACACGTGCTGAATGACCAAAGAAATAACTGCTGAGAGTCGAGTGGAATTCAGCAATATGGTGGCAAGTCTGCCCAAGAGCCACTACTCGCCTTTCATGATGCCCCTGCTCCAGCCAGGCTCCAGAAGTGGACAAGCAGGGGGGCAAAGGTGATGGTCATTTCTGCTTTTTCAAGATGTCAAACCCTACAAATTTGGAATGCAAACTAAAACACCCTTCCCCTGACCAACCACCACCACCACCACACACACACACACACACACACGGGTAGCAAGATAAGAGCTTCATGAGGAATAGTGGTTGGCATTTCCTCACTTTCCTAACACATACATCACTTATTAGAGCTCAAACTTTTCGGAGGATCTTTGTCTCTTTACTGCCACCTTCTGGTTCCCAGGTAGCAACAAAGGAGTACATGGGCGCGTGGGGGGGTGGGGGGGGGGAGAATTCCCACCTCATGTTTCTTTCACTATGGAATTCAAAGCATTTGCTTAGATCCTTTACCTCTTCTGACATTACACAAGTGAGACACAATTAGGGTGGCCTTTACTCTTTATTAATCTGACCTGAAATTAACTTCTAAGGTAAACTATTTGAGAAGGACTAAAAACTCAGGAGAAGCACAAGGATTAGCCACATGTCTGTTGGTTTTTCCAAAGGGCAGTCCCTGGGTTGAGCAACTTGGCTTGGTCCAGCTCTATTTGCCAAGTTCCACTGCTCTTTCTGCCCTTCCCAAGCACAACTCTGAATGGAAAAATCCCATGTCCTTAAGAAAGGATGCTCATCAAATCCACCCTGGTCTTTCTAAGCACCACCTCCACTCCACTCCACTTGACCAAGTTTTGAGGGAAGAATGTAGGAGTGCTGAAGCTGCTACCCCATCAGACACTCAAGAGATCCCATTGTCCTACAGCGCTGCCCCAGGCTTGGGACCACCCAGTTCTTTCTAAAACTACCTTGGTCTGAAAGCAGCAGTAGAGTTGGGTTAGGTATGGGTGTTTCCGTGCCAGAGCCAAGATCCTCTTCTCGGTCATAGTGCAGTCCACATCATCATCCTGGAGGATAACGTCCTTCTTTAAGACCTTCACAGCGTACACTTCATCTTTGCCCTTGAGCTCGGCCAACATGACCTGCAACCAGAACAGCCTCCTTCAAATTGAAGCAGTAATACCGACAGATCTGAACACTTTTTAAAAAATGAATTTCTTTCATTTGACATATGGCAACAGATTAAAATCTCTAGGAAACTTTTCATTCCAATATATTTACTTTTATCTTTGGGTCAACTCAAAGAAATGAACAGCTCAGTGCACATATGTTAAATGATCACCTATTACAATTATAAGGTAAGATTTAACAAGACTATTATTTTATAAGCGTTTTTAAGTCATGGTTGCTAATAATAAAAAGTAAATAAAGCACAAGTTAGCTATTTATTTCATGCTATATACTTATTAAATATTACATAAATATTTCCACACGTAAAATTTTTTAACTTCTTTAGAAATTCTTAGAATTACATTGGAGGATTATAGTTAACCTTTTGACATTTCCTGACTTTTCAAAAGCGTGTTTAATACAATGTGCCACCAGGAATGTGGTAGTATGCTAGGTTTGTTGTCATATGCCTACGTTGGGTCCTTTCACTTAAAAACACTTTTACAAGTCTGGTGCCATGGTGGCTTGAGCATCTGCTTGCAATGTCAACATCCCATCCCCACGCCAATGTGAGTTCCAGCTGCTTAATTTCTGATCCAATTTTCTGATAATGTGCCTGGGAAAGCAGTGGAAGAGGGCCCAAGTCTTTGGACTCCTGCATACATATTAGAAATCCAGAAGAAGCTTCTGACTGACTCCTAGCTTTAGCCTGGCCCAAGCTCATCTGGAAAATGAGTCAGCAGATAGAAGATTTTCTTTTTTATATAAAAGGTGTATTTATTTTTATTGGACAAGCAGATAAGATTTACAGAGAGGAGAAACAGAATGATCTTCTATCCACTGGCTCACTCCCAAAATGGCCACGATGGCTGGAGCTGAGCCAATCTGAAGCTAGGATCTTTCCCAGGGTCTCCCATGTAGGTACAGGGTATCAAGGTTTGGACCATCCTCTACTGATTTTCCAGGATATAAGTAGCTGGCACATCAACAGGTACCCACATGGGATCCTGGCATTTGCAGTGTAAGGATCTAGTTATTGAACCATATTAGGCACAGAAGATCTGCTTTCTTTTTCTCTCTCCATGTCTCTTCTGTTTGTAAATCTGCCTTTCAAGTAAAAATAAATAAATCTTAAAAAAAAATTGGGCTCATTTACAAGGTATAAAATGTTATTTCAACACTGTTATAACTTGCCATAAAGCTTTAAAATGTTAGCTTTTTAACTCTTTTTTGGGGTGAATTACTTGTCTTCGTTGCCTAGTGATTGGCTGTAATATTATTCCACATATGCTACACATGCATACTGACCTTCCACTCTTTGCCTAAGTCTGCTTTCCAGTTCTCTGCATTAGTTTTCTATTGAGCAGAATCATTGATTTCGATGAGGTTAAATTTGCTTGCCTTATGGTCTCTTCCATAGCTTTATAGCTGCAACCAGACTCCTACTCTAGTGAGCCAATTCACACTGCCATTTGCTTCAAGTTTCCCTAATCTTTTGATATTTTATAATCACTAACCTAAAAGGCAGGAGCCTTTCTCTGCTTAAAAAACGAAAGCTAACTTCAGTATTCCAACGTCAGTTGTCAGAGCTACAGCAATCAAAGACATAATAAGGGGATTCTGGCATTATTCTTGAAGGCTTCTCACCACCCACAGGTAATATAGATGCTTTAAAACTGACTCAAATGTTGGCTGCAGCTTTCTCTAAGGAACAATCTAATTTGGTTCTATGGCTATCCTGTCTATCCTTTATGGAAATATGGCAACTCTGGAGTCAGCTCACTTCCCTGGAATCTTGCTCAAAATTCAACTGAGTTCTGCTCACATCACAAAGTCACGCAATGCCAGAGAACTGGGGTCTGCTTCTTATTTAGTCAGCCTTGAAAAAATGTGATTGCATAAGCTTTTTCCTTAAGGGAACTCCTGGAGCTTCAAGGCAAGGTGAGGTCAAGGTGAGGTGCCTGGGAACCTGGTCCTGTAATGTAGGAGTCTTTGTAGAGCCCTTCCCGTCAGAGAGAGGTGGAGTGGGCCTGAGTTTCAACCAGATGACTGACCTACTCGTGTGGCTTCTTCTAGAGTCCAGAGCATGCAAGGGCAGGGAGCTTCCAGGAACTCTCTGGTCCCTAGAGAAAAGCTTCTCCACTCCCAAATGCCCAGAAGGGCAAGTCCCGGGGCCTCCCAGGCACAACTTTGAGAAGATCCACAATTCAGGGCTCATGTCTGAAATGCTAACCAGCCTCCAGGATTCTCTGCCTCTCTATTTTCTTTCTCCCATTCAAATACTAAGCAGACCTGATCCTGCTTAGCTTCCAGATATCAGAGGACATAGTGTATACTCAGGGTGGTATTGCCATAGACCCCTCCCTGCCCCACCAATCTTCTTTTTGAAGTGAGCTGGGCTTGGTTTTTCACTTTGCCAGTTATCACATAGTGGCTGATCAGTCTGGGGGCTTCCCTAACACAAAGGAGGGTAAACCCCAGCCCACTGTGCTGGTCTTGGGGGGGGGGGGAGGAAGTGGGTGTAGAAAAAGGAGGGCACAGGACTGAGACCCAGAACATACGACGGCATTTCTCATTCTCTTGCCACTTATAGAGGACAAACTCAACATTCAGTAGGTGCTAGAAAAACCAGACAATAACATTTAATTTTCATCAGAAATTCCTTGAGATTTACTCTGAGCCTTAAGTTTGTTGAGGGCAGAGATTTGAGACTTCATTTTCAAAATCTTCATAATGAATTAACAAAAGAATTCTAGATAGACCTCTGAAGGAGGCAAGAAATGTGTTGATAACATCTCTGATCATGGGATGGAGAGTACTTACACGACACTTTAATAAGTGTTTTCTCATCATCACACTTGAGGCCTGTCCCCATTTGCCAAAAGTGAATCTCAAAGAGGCTAAATGACTACCTTGAGGCTCCACAGCAGGGCTCCTATCTGTGTGGGCTTGATCCACTGCCATTCACCAAGAAAGAAAAATGTAACCAGACCAGGCTGAAACGTTCCCTCATTTAATCTCAGATCAGATGAGACCATGTCAAGGCCATGAGAAAAAGCGGAGGCTCTACCCTTGCATGCCACAGACCTTGCCAAAGCTGCCTTTGCCCAAAACCTTGATGAAGTTGAATTCATCCAGACCCAAGCGCTTGGCCTGGCCTTGCCGCACTTCACCATTCTCGGGACCTCCCAGCTGGCCATCGGTGGACGAGGCTGCCCGGTGCTCCTCCCCTCGGTTGTCAAATGACAAGGCCTTCCGGATGTTGTTTTCAAGTTCTTTTATTTCTAGGGCCAAGGGAAACAGGATTTTGCATTAGTGCACACCCATGAGCTGTTATCATTAGCACTTAGGGCTTGGCATATATCCCTGTGAGCTCTCAACCCCTTTCTGATTCTTTATATCCAATGAGGCATCCTCTCATGTATTGCTTCTTCTATTCAAATCATTTTCATTGGCATTGTGTGTATAGGGGAGACTTGGTATGCAAAGGAGGACACACATAGATCCTGCCCTTGCAAACTCCTGATCATACTGAGCCTGGCCATCTTGCAGCAAGCTGCCTTCAACTAGTAACTATTTCATCAGTGCAGGTATAGTAGGGGAATTTGGCCCTTTTTCTTTCAATCTGCAGAGTTGCAAAGGCATGGAGTCCCTTTCAAGTGTCATTTAAAGATGAGAACAACAACTGAGCAACTGAGCAGTAATCACTGATGATAGCTATTTTAGCAACCAAGACTAAGAAGGTTTCACCTTCTAAAGATCTTTATTTGGCTTTCTTGCTGGATTTATCAAAAACACCCATCCCACACAAGACTAGCTGATAAAATGAGCAGCGGGCTTATCATTAACAAAAGAATTGTTTCCCAGAGTGGCATGTTGCACATTTATCTCTGATGGCACAGGAATTCCTTGGGACAATTTCACAACTCTGAGACAGTCTTGTGCCTCTCCAGAATATGTGAACTGGGGAGTGATAATGCTGGGCAATCCTTCGACCTCTTTTATTTGAAGAAGCTTCATTGTTAGCTACTTATTCACCAAGACAGGCACGCCTCTCTGTAGCAATAAGCACCAGCAGCAGAATCTGATGTTAAAGATGCTCATGAGTAACTGAGAGTCCAGAAGGAGAACACCAGCTCTTAACTCTTGGAGATCTGAATGTAGCATGAGTGATCGTGTGCCACTTGATAGAAAACTCCACCTGTTTCGTTAGCAGAAGTGGGACCTATGAGCACTCACTCAAGATTTCTGGAGGTCTCTCCTAGACTTGGCAGTTGGCTCTTCTGAGAGGTGTTAGGGTGGTGGGTGAAGGAAGGCTGGGAAGAGCCTCTGAGTCCACAGATATGCCCCATGCTGACCTAGCAGCTGGCTTAACAAAGCATAACTTCAGTCTCACCAGAGAGCCAAAAGTCTCAGTTAGGAAATGGATTTTGTAAGGCAGACCTTCATTATTTAGGAATATCAAAGTTGGAAGAAGTGATGTGCTTTCCAATGGAAGAATGAGAAGCTATGTCTTAGTTCTTTTCTTATAACATGGCTTTATTGTTAGCTCCTCATTCGTCCCTTGTGTGGGTGCTCACATCACTTGGGAATATACTAGTTCCTGCATTTGACTGGGAGTAAACAAAGGCCTTGAGGGGTACTATCTCTTGCCCAGGTCACACAGCACAGTGGGCAGAAGTCAGGCCTCAACTCTCTAGCTACCTCATGATCACTCTGGGTCTCCTTAGCATAAAACTTCATATCCTGAAAGTCTCAGCTTTGAAACAGACACACCAAGATAGGCACAGGATGACATCTGCAAGTTTGGAGGTCCTGGCTCAGCAATAGATTTCTTACGAATTGGGAATATCTCTCTTGGAATGAAGTTGAGTTGTTGTAAAGACACACAGAGAACTAAGCAGAGCAATAGGATCAATTGAGATCAACTGCTGTGTGGCCTCAGGGTTGACATGTGACTCCTGAAGCTGTACTAATTTACTTCTGGGTTAGCAGGGCTGGTTTGGGCCCAGCACAATGGCTCTGTTGACTAATCCTCCTCCTCTGAGAGCCACGATCCCATATGGGTGCTGGTTTGTTTACTGGCTGTTCTACTTGCCATGCAGCTCCCTGCTTGTGGTCTGGGAAAGCAGTGGAGGATGGCCCAAAGCCTTGGGACCCTGCACTCACGTGGGAGACCTGGAAGAAGCTCCTGGCTCCTGATTGGCTCAGCTCCGGTCATTGCTGCCACTTGGGGAGTATACCAGTGGTTGGAAAATCTTTCTGTCTCTCCTTCTCACTGTAAATCTGCCTTTCCAATCAAAAGAAAAAAGGGTGGGGGGGCCCAAGCCATGGCCTCCAGGAGGGTTTAAGAGCAGATCCTCAGAGTGGGTCTCTAGATATGAAAGAGATCACACGTCTTCTGTTTTCTCTGCTTTAGCCCTGGATCTTAGGACAACAAATCTTTTTCAGTTCCTGGACCTTCCACACTCTCTCTGAAACGTCAGGTTTGTAAATAGATCAGCAACACAGAACTAGGATAAACATATAATTAGCATTCCAACCACAGGAGGGGCTACAGCAAATCTGCCAACGTGAGGCTGTGATGACCACTCCTCCTCAGCAGATGTGTGTGCTCCTTCCCAGGGAGGCTTGGTACTGCTTCCCAGAGGCAAGGTTTTAAATGTGTGTGTCACTCCTCAGCCTAGTGTTCTCAGATGCTTATAGCACAACATCAATGAGGATGCAAATTAGACCTGCAGAATGTATTTCCTATTGTAAGTACAATTCTTAGGCATATCCAGGAGACAGCCAGAGCTGAGCTGCAAAAGGGAATCTGGTCCAGAGCTGGTTCCTACTCACTCCTGTTTCTCAGTTTCTCCTGCAGCTTTATCTTCTATCCTGCCTTAACCATCCCCTCACTTAACCTGACCAGGTTTACAGTATGATGACTGGAGTCAAGGGCGGAGGTGATAAATGCAGGTGCGTGGCCCTGATGAGGCTACAGCCAGATGCTGGCATGGTGTATTAAGAGAAGAAGCCAAGTGTATCTTTCTCCTTCTCTTGCCTCTAAACCTGAAGCTAGTGCAAAAGTCCAGGGAACATAAAGAACCATATCAGCATCACACACCTGCTCTCTCTTATTCCAGCCTCAAGGGGATCAAAACGAGGCACAGCCAGTTAGAACCCAGTTTTTAAGGGAACCTTATAGAGGGCAAGAGAGACTACCTGAGCATAACAGGGAACGTGTGTATGAAGACCACCCCGCCCCACTGGTTATTACAGCTAGCAAGGTCATGCCTAGGCAGGAAGGTCTCAGGCAGTTCCAAGTTGAGGGCCGATCTGAGGGTCTTACCCTGGTCACAAGGGGAGGTAGGGGCCGACTTAGACCGATCTTCCTCAGACGGTGAGCTTCCAGAAGCAGGCTGTGGGGACTCAGCACCCGCGATGAGCTGCAGAGGAGCAAAAGAGAAGAGGGATTTGTTAGTTTCCTTGAGGTCACATGGATCAAGGCTTTCTTTCGCTCAAGAGCTAAAAGAGCCCTGTGCCCAGTAACTGCTGAATTGACCTTCTGAAAGCACAGCATTCCTTCAAGGTCTCATTTGCTGATTAAAGGGAAGAAACCCAGAAAACTTCAATTTGTTCACTTTCCATTCCATCCAAATCCAACTGACCTTTGTAAGCACAGTTCAGTTTGAGCTCTTGCATAAAACTACCTCCTGTTTCTCTGAACAACACATCTTATCTCATCCAAACCAACAGGACACTGTGTCCAATGTCTCTGACATTTATGCATTATCTCACTCAGCTTTATGTGGTTGATAATATCTGTCTGCATATATTGTGTGTGGGGCTCTGCACTTACGTGGACTATATGCTCTTTGACGATAAGACCTCTATCTAGTTCTTTTGTCACACCTAGTGATTTGTACACAGTCCTATGTATAATAGATGCTCAATAAGTTGCTATGTGTTGACAAATTTTAATGGAAAACACTGAGTGAAGTCTATTCAAAGGACAATTGGAGGGGAAGCAAAGTTGCAGCAAGTCTGACACTATTGCAAGAAGACCTTTCAGCTTGCATCAAAGCGTTCTTGTCACCCATCCTCTCATACTGACTTAAGCTACTACTAGCATTTTATAAGCTTTTGCATATCTGAACACGGCAGTAAAAATATCAAGTTTGGAGTCCCTTATCCTGTTGTCCTGATCCTTCCTGAATGTTCTTATGTGGGCTTCGATTGCTGGATTCCCTCAAACATTAGATGGGCAGGTCAGGTCTAAGCAGTGATGCTTAACTTTAGTATTTACTAGAAGCTTTACAGCCCCCACAAACATGGGGATAAGGGCAGGGCTGAGGGTTTTTTTTTCAATGCTTAATGGCCACAAAAGATTCATTTACATCGTGTGTGTGTGTGTGTGTGTGTGTGTGTGTGTGTGTGTGTGTGTGTGTGTTGGGGGGACCATGTTTCCAGCAAGGGTCTCTGGAACCCATAAAGGCATCCAGCATCATCTTCCTGGGGTGTTTGTTCAGTTTGCCTCTTCAGTGGGGCCCTCACGTTCCCCAGGGCTGATCCTCTGCTTGCAGTCCCCACGCCTTGTGTCAATAGCTTAAGTCTGATTTCCATCAGTGGGAGTGAACTGAGAAGAGCCACCCACACCATGACCTTTCAGAGTAAAACAAACCAAGGAGGACTGAAGCTTTTCTGCAACCATTATGCAGATTAATTTACTAGGAATGGAGAGGGGGAAAAAAGGAGATGTTTAAGAAGATGAAACTAACCCAAACCCTCCTTAATCTAGGGGATAAAGCTCTTCTGCAAAGCACCAGAAGAAAGACCTGGGTAGGGTCTAAAACGGAAAGATCTAAGGAAATACAGGTCTCTTCAGGGCAGGTATAGGGGGAACACTGAGGAGCAGAGACATCCAATTTGCTTTCCAGTAACAGGCTGGGGGCACTTGACACTGCTCAACAAGCCCACTTCCATTCCACCCTCAGCAGGATATCTTGTCTAGTCAACACAGTTCTGATGAGAGTCCCAGAATTTACCTTCTAAAGACCTTTTTAAAGTCTTGCAGACTTAAAGTAAGGCTAAGGATGAGTCCACAAACTAAAGGCTTTGAATGTCTGTAGTTCTACCTGCCAGGTGTGGGTCCTGTCTCACCACAGTCACATTTTAGCCAATGAATCTCTTAATACCAACTCTCAGACTCGGGTAGAGCCAGGGCTTAGGTCCCCACACAAAGGCCTACATGGCTCATGCTGGGTGACATTAGCCATATCCCTGAGGCAGCTCAGTGCTGGTGCGATCATGCATCCTCTTGGCTTCCTCCACAGAAAACAATGTGATTCCCACTCCTCACCCATTTGTTCTCATTACAATGATGCTCCAGTGAACTTTAGACATGGACATTGCTTTCAGGTCAGTGCTGGAGGCTGCTAAGCTTATTCCTCATCTAGAGTTAAGATTTTTTTCTGGAGGGAATTCCAAAGCCCCCATCAGGAGCTTAAGTTTCTCTGACAAACACAAAACTTGAGGCTTGTTTTGTCATGCCACCACCTTTGGAGATGAAGGGGACTTCAATATAACCTGCTTGGCCTCCTTTTCTTTTATTTAAGCGCAACTGAGTAAAATGCCTCAAACCCAGGCATTATATAGCCACACTGCAGAGCACTTCCCAGAAGCCAGTCTGGAGACACAAGCCATCGAGAGCTCCAGAACCACCACCCAAATAAAGTCAGTTACCTTTTTCCTCCTCTGGCCGCTGTTAGTGATTTTGTCTGGAGTGACACCCAGGTCAGCCAGCACTTTGGCAATTCCTCTGGCATCTACCCCACAATTGGGAGCTACATTGGTCTCACATCGACGATGAACATTCATTTTGCAGACTATAAAGAGACATGGGAACAAACATCTGAGTGTTCATGACCAACAACATGCAATCCCCACTACCTTTTCTTCTGATTATAAAAGCAGTACAGGTTAGTCTGATACAACTTGGAATATGCAGAAAAACAAATTTAAACAGAAACATCACCCTCATCCCACCACACAGAACTAAAAACACTTTCAAATCACCTTCTAGAGATAATCCTTGTGTATAGTTACTGCCTTCCAACTTTTCTTTATACATATACCAACTAAGACCAAATAAATAAATATCAGACTTTAATTTTGTCATGGTGGTTGGTGTTCTGGTACAGCAAGTTAAACCACTTATTGCCATGCCAGCTTCCTATATAAGAATGCCAACTACATGCCCAGCTGCTCTGCTTCTGATCCAGTTCCCTGCTAACGCACCTGGGAAAGCTGCAGAAAATGGCCAAAGTGCTTGAGCCCCTGCTACTCCCATGGGAGACCTGGATGGAGTTCTGGCTCTTTCAGCCTGGTCCATGTCTCACTATCATACAGGACAGAAGACCTCTCTTTCTGTCTCTCCTTTCTTAACTGCTCTGTCAAATAAAATAAATCTTCAAGCAAATTTGCTTTAAAAAAAAAATTTTCTCTTGTCGGAGCACAGCTCTTCCTCTAGAAGAACTTAATTCTGTTCTTTGAAAAAAAGTTGATTTGGGATTCTAGATCTAAACTTGTCACATAGTCACAATCCATTCCAGTACTCTACTGAAATACTGGGATATTACTGAGCGAGGAATGCCCATGGAAGGACTTCTCAGCATCTGTCAGATGTCTGGTTTGATCTTAAAGAAAGCCCTAGCTTTGCCCACGTGTCTTGGCTATCTATAGTACAGGACATAAGAGACAAACACAAACTGCTTGAGCTTCTGGTCTACCAGACGAGGCACGTAGAAGTCATCACTCCATTCTAACAAGGAAAACTTGTTAAACAAACTGAAAACTCAGCAACTCTTCTTAGATCAAGGAAGTGAAGTCACAGGGCCAGCTGGACAAATACAGAGGGCAACAACTTACTAGAGCTTAAATCTTCCAGAGAAACCCTGGCAGGAACAGCAGTGGGGCAGGAAAACCTGAACCATGACTTTGGAGCTGGTGAAGACTCAGTGTGGACAACCCAGAGAGTCAAAAATAAGGTGAGGATCAAGTCACACAGGGCGGGTGCATGGCTCCGCAGGTTTCCCCTCCGGGAGTTTGATCAGGTTGTCACATGGAAACATCCCCTCACTTTCAGCAGGCGATGGAAGGGGTTCAGATACAAACAAGCATTCTGCCTTCTTAACAAAGCCTGCTTTTCACAGAAACTATTTTACCAGAGCTTAAACTAATTTTTAAAACTAGATCCTAACCAAACAACAGAAAGGAAACACACAACCCCTGCTTACTGTGGCCAGGCTGGCCCTTCTGGGACCTGGGACGCAGCTGTGACGTTCACAGCACAGAGTACCAGCTCCGTGGAGGACCCAGACTGACCCACAGAGCTACAGCATGCTTTCCCTGCCCCCCGGACCTTACCACCACATGAGTCATGACTTATTTACCACAGCTCCTTTTACCCAGTACATCATGTCCCACAACCGAGAAAAAAAAATATTACAAGGTATGTTAAGCCAACAAATAACCACACACGTAGTCTGAACAGAGAATAAGCATCAGAATTAGATAAGGAAAGGATGTTGGGATTTGGAGACTCGGAATTTAAAACAGCTATGGCTAATAACCTCAAGGCTCTAATGTTTAATGTTCAACGCATGTGAAAACAATGGGCCATGTAAGAAAGAAAGAAGTTCTAATAAAGGGGAAAATGCTAGAGAAAAAAAAAACGCTGTAAAGGAAAAATACCTTTGATAGGCTTATTTGTACACTAGACATGGTAGAAGAAGCATTCTCCAAGCTCAAGGATGCTACCTCAATAGAAACTTTGAAAACAGAAAAAACAAAAAAAACAAAGTCAACAGAGCACCAACTCCAAGGACTCCCAGATAACGATAAATGGTGTAACATCTGCGTAATGGGAATACCAGAAGAAAGGCAGGAGTTTAAGTTTAGAGATTTCTCCCAAATGAATGCCAACACCCAGCTGCAGAGGCAAGCGGCTCAGAGAGCACAAACCCAGAAAATGCCCCCAAAGCCACATGTGGGGATTATGTTTTACAAACTATAGAAAATCAAAGATAAAAGAAAAATTCTTAACTGAGCCAGAGGGAAAAAAAACATCACATCTGCAGAGAAACACAGATAAGAATTGTGCCTGATATTTCCTCAGAAACCAGACAAACAAGAAAGGGAAAGAAGTGAAACATTTAAAGTGTTGGAAAAACTCGCTAGTGCAGGATTCTATCCCTTGTAAAATTATCCTCCAAACATGACAGAAAAATAAACTGCAGACCACAAAACTGGTGGGATTTGTGGGAAGCAGATAACTGCCTGCCCATAACTATGGGAAGAGAAGATAATGATGTAAGTCAGAAACTTTGGGTTACATGATGAAATGAGGAACACTGGAGAAGGAGTAAGTGAAGAGAAAATAAAAACTCACTTCTCTTACTCTTTCTTGATCTAATCATAAGCAGAATGCTCAAAATAATACCAGCTATCTATCACATTATATTTGATCACATAATATATTATCATTCTCCAAAAAGACACAAACTTCAATGCATTTACACCTATGAGAGCATCAAAATAGATCGGGGCTGGCACCATGGCATATCACGTTAATCCTCCACCTGCAGTGCCAGCATCCCAGATGGAGGCTGGCTCTCAAGTCCCAGTGACTCCACTTCAGATCTGGCTCCCTGTTAACAGCCTGGGAAGGCAGAAGTGGAGGGCCCAGATCCTTGGGACTCTGCACACACATGGGAGACCTGGAAAAAACTCCCAGCTGCTGGATTCAGATCTGCCCAGCTCCAGCCACTGCGACCATTTGGAGATTAAACCAGTGGATGAAAAATCTTTCGTCTTCTCTCTCCTCTGTGTATAACTCTGTTTTCAAAAATAAAATAAATCTTATATAAAGAAAATAAAAACTACACAAAGTTTAAAAAAGAGAATTGCAGGGAGAAACAATTGACAGAACATCCCTCTATTAGAGCCAGCCAAAATCCACACAATAGAAAATGGATAATATGGGCAAGCCTATATCTAGTAAAAATTAATTCAATATTAGTAACTATCTAAAAGCAGAAAACACTAGGCCCCAAATAAAAACTCTAACAAACATTAAGGAAAAATTAAACCAATTTGCTATATCCTCTCCCAGAAATTAGAAAGAATATTCATATATTCTAACCTATTTTATGAAGCTCTCATTATTACCTCAACGCCAAAGAAAGCAAGAAATTACAAGAAACAAAGCCTAGTGACTTTCATAAACACAGACATAAGAGTCTCAATAAAATACCAGCAAAAGGAAACCCAACAAAATGTACTAAAATTAGATATTATGACCAAATGGAATTTATCCTAGGTTCACAAGACTGGATCACATTCGAAAATCAATTGATGTCATCAATCATGCTAATGGACTGAGGGGAAAAATTAAGTCGACAGATGAAGAAAACACATTTGACAAAATCTAATGCCTATTTCTGACCAGATATTTGCACCTGGGAAAGAGAAACTGTCTCAAGTCATGAAGAAAGTGTTTTTTTTTTAACACCCCAGTTTACTTCATATTTAATGCCAAGGAACAAGGATTTTTTTCCCCATCACTCCTTTTTCAGCACTGTGCTAGCAATCCTAACTGACAGAGCAAGACAGCTAAAGGAAGCAAAGGGGGGTCCTTGTGCTGGTGCAGCAAGTTAAGCCATGGTTTGCACTGCAAGCAGCCTGCATTGGAAGTGCTGGCTCAAGTCCCAGCTGCGCTGCCCTATGACCAGACTCCTGCTAATGGGCCTGGGAAAGCTCAAGATGATGACTAAAGCACTTGGGTCCCTGCCATACACACACCAACATGGGAGTCTTGATAGAGTTCCTGGCTTGGCCGTGGCCCAGCCCTGACTGTTGTAAGCCATCTGGGGAATGAACCAGCAGATGGAATCTCTGTTTCCCTCAGTATCTCTTTCTGCCACTCTACATTTTAATTAACTACCTAATTTTTTTTTTAAGGAAAGGAAATAAAAGGTAAATTGATTGGAAAGGAAGAAATATAGCTGTCTCTGTTAGGAGATGACATGATTATACGGGTAGAGCATATGAAAGACTGGGAAAAAGAAAACACCCTGGACTCCATTAGTGAATACAACAAGGTTCCAGGATACAAAGCAATGCCTACAAATAGAAAAACTCAGTAGTATTGAGATGCCTGTTCTTCCAAACTTTTTTGATAAAGCCAAGGCAACACAATCAAATCCCAGCAAGTCACTCTGCAGTTTATATACAGAAGGAAAGATCCAAAATACCAACACAATACTGAAGGAGAAGAACAGAGCTAAAGGGCCTGGCGTGGTAGCCTAGGAGCTAAAGTCCTTGCCTTGTATGCACCAGGATCCCATATAGACACTGGTTCTAATCCCACCTGCCCCACTTCCCATCCAGCTCTCTGCTTGTGGCCTGGGAAAGCAGTCTAGGATGGCCCAAAGTCTTGGGACCATGCATCCATGTGGGAGACCTGGAAGAAACTTCTGGTTCCTGGCTTTGGATCAGATCAGCTCGTGTTGCAGTCACTTGGGGAGTGAATCATCAGATGGAAGATCTTCCTCTCTATCTCTCCTCTATCTCTCCTCTATCTCTCCTCCTCTCTATATATCCGACTTTGCAATAAAAATAAATAAATCTTAAAGAATAAAGCTAGAACACTGACACTATCGAATGTCAAGACTTCCAGTCATCACAGCAGTGTGGAAGTAGCAGAAACCATAGGCAAATCCATCAATGAAGCAAAAGAGACACCACTAAACATGCTCACCTAATCTTTGATAAAGAAGCACACACAATAGAGCAAAAGCATTTTTTTTCAACAAGCCATGCAGGA